CAACATTTGCTGCATGCAGCTGGTTTCGGCCCCACCGAGGGGGCCATTCCTCGATACATGGGCGCCTCCGGCGCCGGGAGGCGCCGGGAAAATCAGCTACGTGAGCTGATTCTCAAACCCCCCATTTGCTATCCCCCCCTTTCGCCCGACCCGACTGTAGGGGGACACGTCCGACCTAAACTTAGGCTTGGCAGGCCGTCTCGATTTTGTTGTCGACGCGCGGCAGGTTCGCGGCGCCGGCAGTGGCGCCGAAGGCCTGAACCAAGGTAACACGGCACATGTTTGGGAGCCTCGGGGGGCTTTGTGGTATCCGCTTGGGAGTCTCTTGGGCGCATTCGATGCCTTTCGGGGCGCCTCGTGGGGCCACTTTGTGGGTTCTGTGGCAGTTTGGGGGGGGAGAGCTCCCAGGGCCCCTTCGAGGTCTCCCCCCTTGGCTTTTTGGGATGGCTTGTTTCTGGCCTTCTTGGGGGATCACCCTCCTCGGAGGGAGGAGAAGCGAGACGAACACCGCCAGGTCCACAGTGTCTCCCCGAGCGGGAGACCGGGGATGTCTCGAGCGAGAGGGGGGGGCCCCACCACCAGGGAGACCCCCCTTGCCTCCTCGCATCTCCTCGCCCTGTTGGTGTTGTCGGGCCGGGCGAAAGGGGGGGATTGGGAAAGGGGGGGTTACGAAATTTGCTGCATGCAGCTGGTTTCGGCCTCACCGAGGGGCCCATTCCTCGATACATGGCCGCCTCCGGCGCCAGGAGGCGCCGGGAAAATCAGCCCTTTGCTATCCCCCCCTTTCGCCCGACCCGATGTTGGTGTCGCCTTTTCTTGTTCCTACCTCCAGTGTCTCGAACAGTCATTTCCGCGGACGGCTCGTGCGCACCGCGCCGTGCCGGCCTCTCTCTCGCGGCGCCGTGCTGGCCCTCGACCCGGGAACGCAATGCGGTGCCCGGCTGTTCAGCGCTCGGGGGCGACCGCCCGTGCACCGTCCAAGTGCGGGCGACGCAGAAGAGGATCAGGAGGGAACGAAACACACGGGCACAAAAAGAATCGTTGTCTTCCAGGAAAGTATTGGAGAGTATGGGAAGTGGGGGGGAGGACGAAAGCCTAGAAAATATGGGAAACTACTTATGGGGAGTCCTGCTATGTTTAGTGTTTTTATTTGTGTGTCCCTGGGCTCCTTTACAGGAGATCGTCTGCGCCGACACCGGCGCGTCAGCTGCCCGCGTAAGGCCGCGCGTAAGCGTCCCCGCCTCCAATGTAGCATTCCGCGCCGGCGGCCCGCGTAAGCCGCCGCGTGAGGTCGCTGTGCCATCTCGCGTGAGGGCCCCCTTTTTGGATCGTCGAAACACGAAACGGTGCATAGGAGACGCTCTCGCAGAAGAAAGTCTTGCATGACGAGAAAAACTGTTGGAGCTCTGTGCGAAATTCTTGGATCGGTGAGGCCCCCCTGGCGGTGCCTCCGGTGCCGCTCCTGGCGCGCTCCATGCGCCAGGGAGGGGGCCTCGGCGCCGATCCCAGGAGTCCGCGCGGACATCCGAAGTTTCATGCTTATGTCGTTGATTGCTCCCGTAATGGAACGACATCCATTGTGGGGTGGCAGAGATCGCTCAAGCGCGGTGACGGGAGAATTGAAGGTAGCTGTGTGGCTACGTCATTGATGTGTCCCACGTGCTCTTTCCATGTTGCATGCTTCCTCCCCCCTTTCTGCACCGCCGACTCCATGCTTACACACCGAGAGGGGAGCTCTGGATGCGGATAGCAAAGGGCCACCGAAGCACGCGGGAGTCCCTCCATACCCACCATCCGCGGATAGCATGGGCCGTAGACATAGGCGTCTGCCCAGTCTTCCCCCGCGTCCTCCGTCGCATTCCCTCTACGGTGCGACCAGATCGTCAGGATGCGCAGGAGCACTGCAAGGCCCATGGACGCTCAAACGGCAGCCGAAGCTGGAAGCCCGTGGCTCGCTGTAAAGGGCCAGGATGGACCGACACGCAAGGATGTCAGGGCACCTTTGGGAAGTTACTCGTCCTTATGATGCGGTTTCATTGTATTCTCCTCCTTCTACGTCCCCTCCGCATTCCCCTCCCGGGGTCCACAGCAATCTACCCCGTGGCCTCCGAAGGTCCAACAGTGCCGAAGCGCTCCCGCCTACCCCCCCCCCCCACCCCCTCGAACCTGCAGTCGAACCACATCATGAGGATGAGGAGCTGTCCAAGGGTGCCCTTGCATCCTTGCCTTTCTGCCAATCCCAGCCCTTAGCTATGGACCATTCCAGCTCCGGCTGCACTTTGGGCGGCCCAGGGCATTGCCTCTTTGCTGCGCACCCTCCTGATCCGGTCGCACCGTGTTCCGCTCACCATACCTCCCCTCCTTTTCGCAGCACCACTCCGAGGCCAGGGCAGAGGGCAAGGGCATCTTCGTGCTGGACTCCTTCGGTCCCCTGTTCTGCAGCACGAAGATCAGAGGGGTGTTTCACCATTCCTCGTTCGTCAGAGGCCTCAGAGCGTGAGGGGGTTTGATGGAAGAGGAGGGGAATGAGGAGTGCAGAGGGAGGAGGAGGGACGAGGAGGGGAAGAGGAGGAGGAGGGGAAGAAGGCAAGCTAGGTGCTCTCGCGTCATATCTGACGTCCTACTCCTGCCTCCCATCCCTTACCCTGGCGCAGAGCTCCTCTCCATTCGCACGGTCGGATGTCGAGCAGGGCAATGATCCCGAGAGGGTGCGCGATGCATCGCAATAGAGCACAGCATAGCAGGGCGTAGAAGAGCACGGCAGAGCGTAGTACGTCATAGCATGGCGTGGCGTTGCGTAGTGAAGAATTGCATCACAAAGCATTGCAACACAACTGATAGCATCGCACAGCTGCACATAACATAACATGACATAGCATGGCGTCAAAGATCAAAGCGTAGCATGGAATAGCATGGCGTGGCACCGCGTAGTCAAGCATTGCATATCCTGGGATTGCAGCTGAAGGCATGGCATCGCACAGCGGAACACCACATAGCATTGCATTGCATGCCGTGGCATGGCTCTGGAAATAATGTCACCAGCGCTGCAGCGGGAGCACGATTTGGAACGAGCGGAAGCCAGCCTTGCAGCGGGAGCACGATTCGGAACGAGCGGAAGCCCGAAAATGAGGCCAGCGCTTCAGCGTGAGCAACATTTTGACAAAAATCCGAGCAAACACTCAACTCCCGGGAATCCTGCGTGTAAGGAACAGTACGCGGAGGGGGCCGAATATCTTCCGGACGTCATCAGGGGAGAGAGGAGAGTAGTATTCATATTGTGTAAGTGTGAAGGGGAGGGGAGGAGGGGGGAAGAGGAGGAGGGGAGCGGGAGGAGGGAAGAGGAGTGGAATGAGGTGCGCGACTGCAGGACGAGGAGGAGAAGAAGAGGGAGATACACGACAAACAAGTACCGTAGCGAAAAACCTCCCGTCGTGATTTTCCCATGACTCCAGGGGGTTTGGGGACTCACTCACCCCCAGCTGCGGCAGTATCTTACGCGATGGCTCAGCACGAACCGCATCTTGCTGCACCCCCCGCCCCGTGCCTGGGAGGAGGGCGCTCCGCTCGGGCTCCGGGTGCTGCAGCACCGAGGGCATGCACAGACGAGTAGCGTTCCGCGCCCGATGAGCGAGCGGTGTAACTTTGGAGACAGACAGTGCGGGTCCTGGAAACGACAGGGCAGTTTTTTGTTTCTGGTTCCGTTCAGCCGTGCTTGTTGCCGGTTCCGGCGCCGTTGTTGTTGCCGGTCCCGTCGCCGTTGTCTTACAGGCTCCGGCTCTGGTTCCGATCCTGGAGCCGTTTCTTCGCCGTTACCGGTCGCTGTTGTTCTGCTGCTTCCATCTTCAAGAGACATTTTTCGGAAGCGGTGAAAAAACGGCCCTGCCGTTTCTGGGGCCCACGAAGTTCCAGGCCAAGCCCAAATCTGCCATTCGTATCTCACGCGCCAGCCCAATGCGCGCTCTTCCCGTCCTGGCCCTTCTGGTCCCGCACCCGGCCACCCCCCGTTGCTTACAGGTCGGTTCGGGCGGAGCTGCAGGACCAGGACGCACGGTTCCAGAGCGTGCTTGAGCGCCATCAGAGCGCTCTGGAGCTGGAACAGCCGCGGTGCTCTCGACGTCCTCCAGGACCGCCAGATCTCAGAGGTTCCCGATGTATCCTGGTCCGCTGTTGTGCCGGCCTTGTCTTATATACAGTCAAGACGCTGAAAGAAGGACCGTTTTGGTTGGGTTCAGGGGGAGCCCTGGTTTCTGAGTCGTTCCTCAGATCGCCCAGGTCCGCCGTGGCCAAAGAAAAGTCCTTTCATTTGGCGTCCCTGGTGGTAGCACGATCGCTGTAACGGACCTGTAGGCGGGGCCCAAGCAGTGCTTCATCCACAGCCTCCCGCGTTCGCGCCTGCTTACTGCCACAGTGAGCGTTCCTTGTCTCGTTCCTCGCACTCCAGGCCCAAATGGGCCTCCCTGCGATCCGACGTTGCGAACAAAGAGACAACGTCGCGAAAAAGTCACGGCCGGAGCCTCAGACCCCATATCTTTGAGGCATGTCTCGAGCCGAATCGAGCCGTGACGTTCTGGGAGCCCGAGGCCCGAAACCTAGCGAAAGTACCCGGTGTGAAACGCACAGATCTTCGGGCTCGTCTGATCCACGGGCCCCAGCATGAGCGGCCACAGCACGCGCCACGGGCGCCAGCTCGGGCCAGTTGTTTGGGCGCCCGCGTTGGCCTCTTCAGCGCTAGCTTGGGCCCATTGGGCGCCAGCTTGAGCCACTGAGGCAGCAGCGTGGGAGCGCGGGCCCTGTGGGACGATGGCTCCTCCTCGTCATCATTCTCCTCTTCCGGCGATGCATGAAAAGTGGGGATTTCTGAGGGGACTTATTGCAGGACTCACTGAGCTTGCCTTGCCTCGCCTCGCCTTGCCTTGCCTTGCCTTCTCCCCCTCCTCCTCCTCCTCCTCCTCCTCCTCCTCCTGCTCCTGCTCCTGGTCCTCCTCCCCCTCCTCCTCCCCCTCCTCCTCCTCCTCCTCCTCTTCCTCCTCTTCTTCCGCTTCCTCCTCCTCCTCCTCCTCCTCCTCCTCCTCCAGATCCTCCTCCTCCGCCTCTTCCTCCCCAGCTCCCCCGTAGATCTCCCGTCTCCTCCTTCTCCTCCTCCTCCTCCTCCTCCTCTTCACTCAGTTCCTCCTCCACCTCTTTCTCATTCCTCTCGCCATCCTCCTCATCCTCCTCCTCCCTCCCAGCTCCCCCGTCTCCTCCTCCTACTCGCGCTTCCTCACGCACTCACTCACTCACTCACTCACTCACTCACTCAGTTCCTCCATATCCTCCTCCTCCTTCTCCTCCTCCTCCTCCTCCTCCTCAGTTCATCCGCCTCAGTTCCTTCTCCCCCTCCAGGGCCACCCCGCTGCGTGCAGCAGACCTGTCTCCCCCCAGCGGGCCAGGCCACTGCGTCAAGGCGTGCGGTGCGCGCGCCGCAGCCCGCCCGCCGCCGCCGCGCCCCCCTCCCCGCCCTCCTGAGGCGGGGGCCCCCGGGCGCCGGAAGTTCTGGGGCGGGAGGGTTGTTCTAGGCTTCCTGGATGGGGTCGGAGGATCGCCCCGCATCGCCGATGTATCGCCGATGGGGCTCGATGTGGAGCCCGATTTGCTTCACGCCGACGTCGCCGATGCATCGCCGATGTATCGGCGATGCGGCGCGATCCCCCGACCGCATCTACTCCGACCCCCCAGGAGGCCTCTAGGGAGGCTGGGCCGGTGGGAATTGGGGGGTGACCTTAATAGGGGGGTGGAGAAAACTCCTGCTCCTCCTCCACCTCTCCTCCTCCTCCTCCTCCTCCTCCTCCTCCTCCTTCTTTCCTCCTCCTCCTCTTTCCCTCCTCCTCCTCCTCCTTCTCCTCCTCCTCCTCCTCTCCTCCTCCCCTCCTTCTCCTCCTCGTCCTCCTCCTCCTCCTCCTCCTCCTCCCCCTCCTCCTCCTCCTCCTCCTCCTCCTCCTCCTCCTCCTCCTCCTCCTTCCTTCTCCCCTCCTGCTGCGAGGGCTCTGGGGCGCCTCGAGTGGCTCGCCGACGGGTGTGACAGCTGCGCAACAGGGTCGAGAACATGTTTGCAGATTCCTGCAGAGGTGTGGCCTTGGGTCTGTTCTTGTTAGCACTCAATCGGGCCTGTCCCTCTACATGAGGGATATTAGAACCGAGCCAAACATAGTCTGTGGACGATGTGTTGACAACTTTTCGAATGAAAATGAGCCTATAAAGAGGGAGCTTGGAGGGCGACACTATTACAATATAGTTGATGCGTATTGGGTTCCTCCTCCTCCTCCTCCTCCTCTTCCTCTTCTTCCCCCCCCCTCCCGAACATCTCCTTCCTCTGCCTGCTCGTGCGATCCCGCCACTCTCGGGCGGGTGTTCATGGGGGGTGGCCTACATGGGGGCTGCAGAACAGGGTCCTAAAAGGGGCCCTGAAGAGGTCCCCCCCCATTACCACCCGTCCGAGAATTGCAAGATCGCACGAGCAGGCAGAGGAAGGAGGTTTTCGGAGGGGGGGGAAGAAGAGGAGGAGGAGGAGGAGGAGGAGGAGGAGGAGAAGGAGGAGAAACCCAATACGCATCAACTATATTGTAATAATCTTGTCGTCCAAGCTCCCTCTTTATAGACCCCTAGAAGGCTCATTTTCACTGAAAGACGCGCCCCGTTGGAAAACAACCGTTTGCAAATCCTGAGTTCTGGCAAAACACCGTTCTTGGGATTTCAATGCCGTGAAGGAGCGTTACTGTTGCGTCTTGGCATTCCAGAATCGTGCCAGAACACCATCCTTGGCACTTCAGCACCACGAGCCAACGTAACTGTTGCGCCCTGACAGTCCGATATCGTGCCGAAGCCGTTGCTGGGACATGAACCATGAGAATCCTTGAACGTACTTTAAGCTCGTGAAACGAATGTGTTCGGCGCAAAGGCGAGAGCCACATGATGAACACCTCTTGTCCTCAACCCGTGAAACAGTTGCACAATTGTTGCACGGATGTGCACGGCGCTAAGGCGAGGTCCCGCCGTCCATTTAAGAAATTGTTGCAGAGGTTGAGCTTCAGGATCACGGAAGGTTAGGAAGTCTCAGGCGGAATGCCTGCGCCCCGCCCGCCTTTCGGATTGGCCTCGGGGTGCGACAGAGAGAAGTCATTCACTATGCGGAAAAAGAATGAGGGAGGAGGAGGAGGAGAAGGACGAAGAGGACGAGGGGCAGGAGAAAGAATGGAGGAGGAGGAGGAAGAGGAGGAGGAGGAGGAGGAGGAGGAGCAGGACGAAGAGGAGGAGGAGGAGGAGGAGGAGTTGTTGTTGTTGTTTGTGAGTTCTCGTGGGCTCTCTGTTCTCCAGCCTCGGGAGGCCAGCCTTCCAGCAGCTGCGGACATCGTCCCGAGATCGGCCGCCGGAGGCCCGAGCCAGAAGTCTCGAGAGCCAGAGATCTCTCGGGGGTGGACAGACCTCCTACCCGGACACGTCGATTAGCGAAGTGGCCGTCTTCGG